CAATAATTAAAATCAAGGAAGAACATCACCCAATTGATTCTTGAAGTGAAATCTTGAATCTTGAAGTGGATTGCCTTGTTTTTGCCTTGTTCTTCCTCTCCAAATCCTCCAAAATTGTGTATAATCCCCTCCAATTCTGTAAAAGTGGCGTCCCATCATTCTGGTCGAGTTTTAGTTTATATAGAACCCTAAAAATCTCCTTTCCATAAGAGTTTCGACGAAATAAGGAAACTGCTGAATCGGCCCCGAATCTTGTTCTATGCGACCGCATAGTACATTTCTATGCTGTCACATAGAGTAAAAAAAATTTGAGAAAAAGTTCTCGGAGGCTTCTATGCGACCGCATGTTATACCATTCTTTCCGCTGGACAACTTTTAGTATTTTGGTCATAAAATTCTCTCCTGATCTTCGATTGAAGTGATTCAAAGTGCATTGTGAAGAAAACTCAAAGATCTACACTTTTAATTGAAATAGTCTTCCTCAAATTCTGATGTTTACTATGTCAAAAATGAATCTCAAATAGAGATTAAAAATCACGAGCATAGCTTTTTCGCCTGAAAGTTGATACTTGATAATACTTCGATCATATTTCACCTCTTGACTCCTTTCCTCATCTGATTAACCTCTAACACTCTTGAATCTTCATTCCATTTCCCGTCTCATCTATTGATTATTTGCAACTTGGTCCTCGAACTATCACTTTGCTCCATTTTAGTCCTTTTTCGGCTCTTTTCTTCTGAATTTCACCATGTTCATCGGTATTCCCTACAATTCACAAATATAACGAGATTAAGTCACAATTCAATCATTTTGCTCATTATTAAGTCATGTTTGTGACCTAAATAAGTGTGCAAAAACACACTTATCATGTCCCAACCAGAGGGATTCATTGATGTTAAAAGACCAAATCATATCTGTCTTTTAAAAAGATCTTTGTATGGTTTAAAACAACCTCCTAAATAATGGTATAAACGATTTGATAACTTTGTGTCTTTAGTTTGTTTTGTTAGAAGCTCCTTTTATCATTGCCTCTATTTTAAAAAGAATGACAGCAATTCTATGACAGTTTACTTGATCTGGATGATATGTTGCTAATAGGCCGAAAAATAAATAATTTAACTGAAATTAAGAAAGTGCTAAGTGCTGGATTTAAATTGACGAAGTTAGGACATGCTAGAAGGATTTTGGGTATGATATAAAAAGAAATAGGTCACAACAAGCACTTATTTTAACACAATCTGAATATGTGACAAATGTGTTATCTAGGTTTGCTATACATAAATCTAAGCCTGTTATATTACCTCTTGCATATCATTTTAAACTAAGTGAAGAACAGAGTCCTCGAGATGAATTTGACATAAAATATATGCAAAGAGTCGCATATGCCAATGATGTTGGATCTGTCATGTATACTATAGTGTGTACTAGACCTGATGTTGCACATGCTATAAGTATCTTGAGCCGATTCATGGCTAACCTTGGCCTTGACCATTGATCTACTATGAAATGATTACTGAGATATTTAAAAAGGTCTGCAGATTTAGGACTGTGTTTTAAACCTTGTAAAGAGAGAGTTATCTTGAGGGGGTATGTAGATTCAAACTATGCTGGGGACAGGGATAATAGAAAATCAACTACGTCTTATATGTTTACTTTGTGTGATATATGTATAAGTTGGAAGTCTCAATTGCAGCCAATAATAGCCCTATCAACCACATAAGCAGAATATGTGACTACAACTGAACCAATAAAAGAAGTTTTTGGCTAAAAGGTTTATTACATAAGGTAAATAAACTTACAAATCCTGTTGTGGTTTATTTTGATAGTCAAAGTGTCATTCACTTATGCAAAAATCCCATCTTTCGTGAAAGAACAAAGCATATAGATCTTAGAATACATTTTATAAGAGATACAATTCAAAAAGAATCCATTTTACTTGAAAATATCCCAACCCAATTTAACCTAGCTGACATGGGAACCAAGGTACTTCTTCTACATAAGCTTAAATCCTATTTGCAAATCTTAAGAATTGATACTAGGTAATCTTTGTGGTTCTGTAGGTGCAATTAATTTGGTGTTGATGACCTTGAATGTGCTTTATGGAGTTTATTGTTACAATTTTCTATTTGTTTAATCATTGGCGTCAAGGGTGAGATTTATTGGGCTGTGATGCCAATTAATGATGAATCCAGCTCTGGGCGATGATGATATGGGCGAAGCCCTTTCTAAATATGATCCATTGCCCGATAACACAAACCAAAATGGGCCCAACCCCAAATAAAAGGGATACATGTGCTGCTCTGGATAGTAGATCACCACTTAACGATCCACGGTTATGCTAGCTTGCATAGAAGAACCTGAGTGGTTGCCCTACCGTCACATTTTGACTCTTTGATTTCTTGAGAAGCTTCTGGGTTCTCTCTTCGAGTCTCTTCTGATTCTTCTCTCGTTTTTACTCTGTGTAACCCTAAAACTTCAGGTTTTGGAAAAATCTGTGTTATTGAGTCCCTGTGATTCATTTTGCCGCTAAGTGGAGATTTTGGTTTGTACAGAAGGTTACAATATAAATCTGGGCCCAAAAAACTTTTGATGTTAATGATCATTCGTTGATTTTTGACTTGAAGAGTTTCTGTTGAGCTTTTGGGTTATTCTTTTTTCAAGTTATAACAACTTGACGTGGTGTAATGGGCATCTAGAAAAGGGGGGCGGGGAGAATGTTGATCTATCAATGGTTTAAGGATACCTAAAGGATGCATTCGTGAAATTTTCTTTAAATACCCTTGAACTAGATTCTCATTACCATTCCTAGAAACCTTAATCCCCAATTGTGTGATTTTTATTTATTTTTTAAATAATACCATCAATTTTTGACGTTTGATCTTGTTTGATGGAGATTGGTGTTTTATTAATTTCAGGTTTACATGATAAAACAAGATGCTGACGTTGAGGGAAAGAAGTGTACTAATAACAAAAGCGAACCAGCATGACACATGAACAAAAGAGATAACCATCAATTGAAGAGAATTTACCGCCTCGTTAAAACAAGAAAACACATGCCAAGACATATATAAACGAGCCACCATATTGTAGGGCATGTTAAGGGATAAAATTTCATATCAAATAAAAATGAAAACATAGACCAATATGTAAGGGCTTGGGTCTTCGGCTACTCCTCTTAATAATATTGACATTTTAAGATAAAATCTCAAATCTTAATATTGTATTTGTTAAGTGATAGAATCTTATATTGTATTACTCCTCTTAATAAAGTTGACATTTTAAGATGGAACCCAAAAACTTAATATAGTATTAGAGCCTATTAAGCTCAAAAGAACAATCAATTCGATAAGACTAAAACAAAAATAAACACACGAATTTCAAGATTAGTCCGGTGGAAAGAATCAACCTTTTAAGCAACTATTTGACTTTTTAGTATGGAACCCCACGGCTTAATAGTAACTAGCTTTGAAGTGCCAAATAATTCTATTAAGAATGCATGTCTGATCCACTGAGCCCAAAGTTGTTCAATCTTTTCAACATCCCACGCTCCTATAGCACCGACCCTTCATCTTTCGTAACGGGCAGAAAGTCAAAACTTGAATAGAGTCTCCATCTCAGTCCCCTTTTCCGTCCCCATGTGATACTCCTCCAATTAAAGGAGTCTCCAGCCTTCACCCTTGTGGACAAAATTTTCATATTATGGAAATATTTCCCTGCAAAATACGTGTTGTGAGCGAGGTCCTATTTTGCAGTAACAGCCATGTTTGTTCTGGTTACCACTTTCTTTATGCAGAGATATACAGACAGTCAATAGCAGATTCTGGTGGAGAGGGAATATGAATTCATTGGAAGAGCTGGGATCTTGTTTACTGAACAAAGAGGGATATTGGACTGGGATTTTAGACTCAACATCGTTCAAGATAAAATACTATAGGGTGTGATAAATTCATTTTGGAACTTCTGCATAAGAAATAATATCCTTAACCGGCAGCACAAGTTTCACCCTTCATAATGGGTGTTACAAATGGCAAATGACATTTTCACATACCAAACATATGAATAACAAGGCATCGTATTCCTGTACATGCTAACTTCACATACGTTTATACCTTTCATCTAGTGGAAATTTTATAAGTAGACATTGCTTGGTCCTCAAAACATGAAAAAAAATCATCATATGCAGTTTCTAAATCCTCAAAACGCCTAGAGGATGGAAGTCCTCTCCAAGTTCTTCCATTGGTGTTAAGATCCAGTGAAATTTAAATCTCTCTCATAGGAGTATTGGGAAACGTGTCACACGAATCAAGTGGAAAGTTAGCCGTCACTTGTCAATGTGAAGGCAAGAAGAACAATACCGAGTGTAAAGAAAATTGTAGCAGCAGAAAACAACCACATAACCCGGCTGTTAGGACTCTTGCTCACTTGACTGCTCAACTCCACCTCTCCCAGAAGTTCCCGCACTTGTTCCATGTCAGAGTCTTTTGCAGCTTGTATTAGTCGTTTTTCAATTTTGTGTAGTTTTTTTAGCCTCCTGTCTCTGGATGCATCTTTGATTGGCCAGAATAGACCCGTCATTTTCCACAGAAAGATGCCCATGTAAATGGCTACAAGACAATCCACACTATAATGGTGTCGTTCTCTAATTTCTCGTTGGGCACTGTGCAGTACAAGTATCCAGATAAGAGCTGAGCTAAAACCTCCGTAAGCTTCCTGCATTGTTTATCGAAGGAGGAGAGTCAAATGAATCACAGATAAATTATCTAAACTTCAAGGAGTTTCTACCACAAGGTTAGAGAACATTTTTGGCCCGTTATTAGGAAGAACTGGATATTAAAGTGTATTAAGAAGGAAAAATAAGCAAAAGTCATGTTCATTATACTTTCTAATCCTATCGAACACTGTGTATCAAACATGCACAGGGTGTCTGATACATACCATCCATGCCATAGCTGTCAATACTGCAACAAGCATGTGGCCACTGTATAGGAGATCATTGCACCCGCCCCCAGCTTTTTTTAGTAGATGGTACCACGGAGATGATCCTTCAGAAGCTGTAGGTCGTAGGAAATTAGCAAGAAATGTCATCAAACCCCAATCTGGTTGGAAGTCAACATTGTACTCCCCTGGATCAGCTGAAAGAGAATGAAGAATCTTGTCAACAACAACATGTTCTCAGTAAGTCCATGTAAACTACTAAGCTTGTCTCTCCCGATAGGCCAGTAAAGGAAGAACCCAGTGAGGAAGTCCCAGAAAGAGTGGTGGATAAAAGGTATTAAAAACTTAACAGAAGAAACGAAAAGTTATGCAACTAAGGAAATACCGTATGCAATATCGTAACGAATGATTTGGCGTATAGCATTAGAATCTGTAGCATATGGAACATGATATTTCTGAGCCCAAGGATGAGGGTATGGAGGGACTTGGAACCGAGCTGATGCACACCAGGGACGTGGTGATGGCAAAATTGTAGACACAAAAGCTATGGCCCGAAGAAGCCGTCCAATACCCATTGTGAACATGTATCTTGCACCCAGCCCCAAACCAGGAGCTGCAACCGAGTTAAATAATACAGAGAAGCCAAGCATTATAAACAACATCAGGAAATGATGCAACCCGATAATACGAGATCTCAGTATATTGACCACAGTTTGAGGCAGTTTCTCATTCAATCCCAGCAGCAACCACTGGCCAACATCAGGAAGAGGCGGTTGAGCACTATCAAACATTAGCAAGTGCATTATACATCCAGTGAACAAAGTTTCGGTTGGTAATGAAGGTTTAGAAAAGTGATGATAATTACGACATTTTGTCAACTAAGGTTTTCTAGATCTTAGTGTATACGAACATTGATGATATTGTAGATCATCTATCGCACAAACTGTCCTCAAAAACTTGAAATCTAGAAAATAATGTGTCAATAAATCTCGAAGTTAACGTAATTAAAACCTTCAAAATTCAAAGCTTAACTACACATGCATTGATGCCCTTGATAAGTCCCTTCAAGTTAGTGCCTTCTCACTACGTGTTAGAATTGGCTATCCAATAATTATCTCACTTCTTTTCTTGGTACCCTAGGTTTATTTATTGATCCACACAGCTTTATTAATATTCTAAAGTAACGCAACAATTTAGAAAGATGAAAGGCACAGCAATTTAGGTCAAGTTTTTTAACAATCGTTCATCTTTTTGTGAATACATCCAAACATATATATAGAGCATTCATCCTAAAATAGAAAAACCCAAAAATAGAAGTTTTAGAAAATCATGCATAGGTATGTTTCACTTGTCATAGATAACAACAGATCCCAGAAAGGCTAGTGCACATGCAATTAACTAGCAAAATAATTTTCTAGGCAAACATTAATTACTTTCCAGTTTCCATAAATAAGGCCTAATATATCAAGTATTACCCAAAAATGCTCTCTTCTTTTCAGCTCAGGATCTTGACATAATTAGGAAATTCTTGTTCGCAATCACGATTCTGTATAAGGTCACTCAGCATTCTACAAATCCTGTTATCGATAAAGTAATTTTACTAAAATTGAACGTAGAAGCAGAAAAGAGGAAATGTAGATCTACGCCTAATTAAACCAAACCCAGATCATTAACTATAAGTATTCAATTTAGAAAATCTCATTAGAGATAACATTACCAAAATTGAACATAACATTATTAAATGTAGATTTACAAAAACCCAGCATATTCATTCTCAGATTCAATATATAAAATCCCATAACTAATGTCCCAGTTCAAAGAGCACTAAATTAAGTCCAACCACGATCCTTAATCCTCCATATTCAATCTCAGATTTACTTTTCAAAATACCACAATGGATTACACTTAAAACTATATAAACGGGCGCATTCTCTCACTCACTGACAAACACAAATATGCCCCAAACCTCAAACCCGCATACGATGCTAGAATTCCAGACCCTTGACCTAGAAAAGAAAATCGTAAAAGAATGTAACGATAAACAGCCGAACAAAATCGAGCTGGAAGAACTACACGTATATAATGTTGAATGCGTACTTGTGCCAGTCCAGACCAAGTACAGCCGTGACGGACCGAACAGAAATGGCTTCGAAAAGGAGAGCAGAGAGCATGAAGATCATGGAGAAGATAAAAGGAAGAGCAGACCGGAGCTCCAAGGACCAGTGCCTGTAGAACGGGACGCGAACAATGGCGGCAATGGCTAGGGCGGTCCAGAGAGCGGGCTGCAATCGCTCGTGCCACGCCGGTGAGATGTGGCGGAGGTAGTCTATGCTCACATACGCGATAGCAGCCAGGCCCAGGCCGCCACCTCTGCGGTGGCGTCGCCTTGTCAGAGAGCATGAAGATCATGGAGAAGATAAAAGGAAGAGCAGACCGGAGCTCCAAGGACCAGTGCCTGTAGAACGGGACGCGAACAATGGCGGCAATGGCTAGGGCGGTCCAGAGAGCGGGCTGCAATCGCTCGTGCCACGCCGGTGAGATGTGGCGGAGGTAGTCTATGCTCACATACGCGATAGCAGCCAGGCCCAGGCCGCCACCTCTGCGGTGGCGTCGCCTTGTGTTGGATGAATTTTGTGAATAGTGACGCTGAAATAAGTATAATGATGGTGACAAAGCCGAGGCAAGAGTTGGACTCTTTGTCCTTAAGTCGAATTTGCCCCGCAACGTTGCCTACGGATTTCGACAATCGACTCCCAAGATACAACGGCTACACTTGTGTTTGTAGCACTCCAAAATACAAGTACAACGAACCAATTTAGGCTTATGTACTCCAAGAATGAAATGAAAGAAAATCAAAATAAACGAAATGATTTTGATTTTGGATAGAAGAGAGGATGAGAAACGTTTTGCATATCAAACTGTGAGGAATAGGACACCCAAAGGGTCCTATTTATAGACCATGAAGGGGTGTGGACGAAATGGTTGAGACCAAACCATGCACCATTTCCAAACAATGCATATTTATGAAAAGGTGTCTATTCACTAATGGTTGAGGTCTTTTTCGTAATTTCTCATTCATCCGATATTGGTTTTCGAAATGCCAAATATACCCTTCAATACATGCAGAGAAATCAAAATTCTCTTTCGGGGGCGTTGCCCCCG